ATGCTGGGCTAGGATTAAACCCATTTTGCAGCCATTTCTCTGCATCTTCCCCTCCCCATTCCAGCCCTTGTCTTGTCCATTAGTGTTACAAGTACTCTGAAGCAAGGACTGTCTCAGAATGGCTGTCTCTGCCCATGTTTCTAATTGCTTCTGGAGCAGATGATGGAAACTAGTCCTTCCTTGCCTGGATGAATCACCCAGTCAAGGTCCCTGCCCTGCATACAAGATGCATTGTTTGGGAGAGGAGGATTCTTGTCACTTTGAATGCTCTGGTGGCTCAGAAGGGAGCAGAGGGGTGGATGAACACTTGGGCATGCCTGTCTGAAACCACAACAAACTCAGTGCCCCAGGGTTTGCTTTTATTGCAGAGCCATTATTAGCCATGTGCAAGAATTCTGTTGTACAATGTGGTGTGACCACAAAGAGCCCTCCAAATAACAACAGTGTCACATTTGTGAGCCATGGACCATGTCCAGGGCCACCATTAGCTCAGGGGGTAGAGACTTAGAGGACCTACAAACTTAAGAGGTCTTGTATTCCCCTAACACTATATTCAGACTAAACCCAGCATCAGTAATAATGTTTGTTACCTGCTCCTGGATGTCTGGAATTGCTGCCTTCAGCTAATCTGTAATGGAGGCAAATGGGCATGGGAGGTGTGTGTGTGGAACAGCACAAGGGATAGCTCTGTGCTTTCAAGGGGTTTCACTCTGTCACTTTCAGCAGGCATGAAAGGCTCTGGGTCCTGCTGCCTTCTCTGTGTACATATGGTAATAAAAATATTTACCCTTTGGGTAGTGTTTGGGTTTTAACTTTCACTGCAAATCCAGGTGACTGCTGTATATTGCACTGGGTGGATCCATATGGTGGATCCTGACAGTGAATTCAGCAGTGGCTGTGGAACACATGTGCTCTAGGACAGGCACAACTGGCCCTACTGCTGTTTGCCTGCTGAAGAGGCTGGGCTGAGAGTGGCACCCTAAGCTTATGCCAGGGTTGTGCTGCTTCATTTCTCCAGGCTTCAGCTTCCCCTGCTGCTGGGAGTCTGTTAGGAAAGAAGACAAAGTTTCCAACCTATCTTGCTCTTTGTCTTCACAAACATCAGTGAAATACTTCAGATTGGGTAGTCACAATTCTAACGTGCTCAGGGTTTTTATGCTGACACAGAGCTCTGCTAAACCAGAAGGAATCACTCCAAAGTTGGCAGGAATGGAATCAAGCCTTGGAATCACATCACTTCCTTCCACCCCCAGAAATACTCACTGACCTCCTCTTTTCCCCTCCCATCCAGCAGTAGCAATATAAAACTAAGGAAAACAGCAGCAGCAGGAGCTGCAGCAGCAGCTGCTCCTCCGAGCCCAGTCCTGATGTGGCCCGGAGGACATTTTTTCCTGTGTTGTGGTTTGCTGACTTTTCTCTTTGTCTCGTGTGTAATGGGAACTGAGCTCATGGAGCAGGGAGCATGCTCAAGGCAAATGGCTTCTGTGGGGCTTTTTCTTCACTTGTGCTGAATTCTGGTCCCAGTTGCATAGGTATAGACCTGGGGAAATTTTGCTGCTTCTCTGGTCCCACTCCAGGTTGACCCCAGTGAAAGCAGCAGCAGAAACGGGCTCTGAGATGCTTTCTGGAACATTCCAGCCACCCACAGAAGCTGTTTATTGCTGTGTGCTTGCCTTCACCATGAGAATTATGTCACTTCTGAGGGCTAAAGCCCCACCATCGTGCTTGACTCCAAAAGGTGCACAAGCTGCAGGTCAGCTGTGGGTCAGTATCCACAGAGCTCCTGTGATGCCCCAGTGCTTTGCAGAGAGCATTAGAGGCTAATTGCTCTATTGCTCTTCATTAGCCTTCATGAGGAAGCATGAGGGCTTCCTCAGCAGGGAAAGTGCAGGGAGGAAGGCCAGGGCGTGGCAGGGTGGTGGCTGCCTTTGCTTGATGGGAGGGGCTGAACCAGGTAGCTGATGGCTGAAAGCAGGAAACCTCAGAGGTGTGAGCCTGCAAGATGCATCTGGCTGCAACACAGGCTTTCTTTTTTTGCAGACAGCCGCAGTGCTGTCGTAGTGGCCCAACTGGTACAAACCTCCACAACAGGATCCATAAGATTCCTTGTCTGTGTCACTTCCCCACAGCTTGTCCCATGCTGGTGAGCATGTGTCACACCCCAGTGCTTTTTGTGCACAGTTCTGGTCTTTGATGGGCTTTATTTCTTCTCCTGGTCTGGTCCAGCCACGAAGGGCAACACGTTAGTTTATGCTGATAATAGCAGTGATTCTGCAGTGTGGAAGATAAGGTTCCAAAGGCAGTGAAATGGCTCAGGATTTTCAATAGTGTGGGGCAGTTCTGTTTGTCAGTGTGGAACTCATATTTGATGACATTTGACAACTTAGTGTCTAAGTTAGCAAACATTTTATTGTCGTAATTTTTTGTTTAATCTGCCTTTAAAACAGCCATTGCTGGTGGTACAAGGTCAGGCTCTGGGGCAACAGACAAAACTATCAGTCCAAACCCACGAAGCCTCCAAAATATATATGTGTATGTATACACACACATGTATACATGTATACACACACACATGAAATGGCAAATAAAAGTCCTTTACAAATAGCTTTACAAACATGGATATTTAGAGGGAAGCTTGGGGTGAGAGGGAGGGGAAATGAGGTCCTTCTCTAACCCACTGGTGTTAATGAGGGCTTTGACATGACTGGCATTGATGACATTTTGGGAGTTTTTGCAGTGGGAGGTGACACCTGGGCTTGGAGGAGTGTGGAAAAGTGATTAAATGCTGACCACTTCACTGGTACTCCCTCTATGGGATTTTGAAACTAACATTTTTTTGCTAGTATTTTTGTCTGGCCTTGACTTTTCCCTGTTGATAAATTGGGACACTTCTGACACTTCCCAGCCAGTAAGCAACATGTGGGTGCAGAATTCCTCTTAGGGGTGAAGGACACCCACTGCTGTGCTGAAGTAACTCTTCTCTGCAGGGTTGTAACTCTGTGATGTAGGGATGGGCACCTACTGTTTTATTACAGTCAATTCTCTTGTTGGCTGTTCCCTTTCCAAGAAGAAGAGAAAAAAAAAGAAAAAACCCAAAAGAGATGGGAGGAAAAAGAAGTAATTCGGACAGTCCTAAGCAGGTACTGGAAGTGTTGGTTTGTTGCAGTTTGAAAGAAAATTTGCTGCTACTTTTTTGTGGATTGCATCAGTGCCTCTGCAGCTGGCAGTAGTAATTTGATAGTTCATATAAAATAGGTCAGTCTTTTCCAAGTAAGAAACTATGGTTATTCTGTGAGGGGAATTGACTTCATTGAAAATTTCAGGAGTTGAATTGAAGTCAGATGGCAAGCTCAGAATGAAATTGAAAGTGTCAGCTTCGGTGAGGGGGGAAAGAATTTTAAAGAAGTTTGGGAGCTGTAGATGCATCTTGGATAGATTCAAGGAAATCTTTGACTTCATCATGTTTAGAGATTTAGTGTGGGACTTCAGTAAAAATCCTGGGGAGCTATAGGTATTGATGAGGTTAATTTGGTAATAGTGCCAGCACCTTCCATTGGTGCTGTTCATAAATGATAAACATGTTGTTGTGTAGCACATAAAAACTGGGGACTACAGAAGATCCAGAGCTGTGGTTTGAGAAGTCTCCTGTGTTTCATTACCCTCCCTTGCTGCCTGGAAATTTCTTCATTCTTTGATAACCAGTTTGTTCTGTGAATGAATCACCAGTTCTCCAGAAGAGCAGTATGAAAGCACAGGGTTACAGAAGCCAATTTATTCTAGCCTGTGTACCTCAGGAGGCTCCTTTGGTCCTTGTGCCTTTATCTTTGCCCTTCTCCACTCCAGCAGCAGTGCTGCAGGGCAGGCAGTGCCATCCTGCATTGCATACGTGGGCTTCTGTGCCTGACATACGAGGGCAGGAGTGACTGGCATAAGATCACTTGGAAAGCCCATAGTAGAACTGAGAATTGTAAAGGGTGATTTTTTTTTCTCATGTTTACACAGAAAAATGCCTAACAGCAATTAGAGGAATGCTACTGCTTTATAGTAGTTGAATTTCAGAACATTTTTTTGTTCTGCATCAAAGCCCCTGTGATTTTTGTGTGTGCTATTGTTTAATTTATCTTTCTTTTTATCTGCCTGAGACACCTGAGAGATGAGTTCAGCAAGCAAGGAAAGCAAATGGGTCATTCTTTCATAAACACCTCAGGGAGGGCTTTAAAAACCATTGCCTATCATGCTTTGTAGCCATTCTAATGTTTTGAAAGTGTATAGTATAGATCAACGTCAATCTAGAATTTATTGTGGGCTTGCTGTGTGCAAGGCTCTGTTTGAGCTCTCAGTCCCATCAGACTGTGGGGGTCTCTGCTTGGATTTGGCAGAAAAAAACCAGGGAGTGCCAGTAATGTAGTTTTATATAATGGAAGTGGCAGCATGGACATGTAAGTCTTCTGCACGTAACTAAGTTATCCAAGTTTTCACAAGGAATCCATAAGGGAGCCAGGGCTTGACTGCCCAGAGCATTACTCCAGCAAATTAGGCAAGAGTACTGCTTTATTTTTTGAAACAAACAGTAATTCATGGAAACATTCTTCCGTGCATTCTGGGAGAACAGAAGATCAGTCAAGACATTGTGTGGTGCAAGGGCAGAGCTGTGCTCTAGGAAAGCAAATAATCTGATAGCAGATAATTTAAGGAAGTCAAATGAAATTAATTAAACTTGAAGAAAATATTTATATTTTATGCTATGAAAGGAACAAAAACAAATGGAAGGATTACTGAGTTTCTTTGAAAATCTTTTGGTAAACCATTTCAGACCTCTTACTGCTTGTCTTAGAGTCAGTGGGTTTTGTCATGGTTCTTATTACAGCTTTCAACACAGCTCTATGTAATTTGTGTCCCTAACCACCTCTGGAGCAGGCCAGGCTTAAAATTCAAAGTGGAACAAGGAATTTCACTGCAAAAAAAAAGCTCTAATGTAATCAGTTATGTTTTGTATGCAGATCTGGAAGCGTCAAAAATCATTGGACTGAGATTTACTCCTTTGTGGAAAGCCTAGCTGAGAAATTCATAAGGTAAAGTTTTTTTTAAATTATGCTTTAATTTCCTGTACATGATTTATTTTTTATTTAGTGCTTATTAGCAAATGAATTTCTGCTGAAGTGACAAGTGTGACGTGGATCTGGCTTGTTCCTCTCTTTCAGTCCAATGTTGCGGATGTCTTTCATTGTTTTCTCCTCACGAGGCACTACGATCATGAAACTAACAGAGAACAGGCAAGTACCTCCCACAGCACTCCTCCAGAAATTCCCTCTATCCCTTCTCTCATGCAGCACTTGGCCCCACACCCAGAGTTTGGAGGTCTGTCTTGGTCCTTGTGTGGCACCAGCTGAAATCCTCTCCTCCATTCCCAGCTGGAGGAAGGTTTAGAGGCCTTTGGGTGTCCCACTTCAATTTTCTTTTCAGCTTTGTAAGAGGAAGGCAGCGCTGGGCTGTTTGCTCTTTGCTGTGGTGTTTCAGGGAGAAATTGCATTTCCAGTTGAGGATCCAGGTACATACTTGCTATCCCCAGCTACCCACATAAGGACAGTTTTTGTGGAAGAGATCTCAGACGCTGACCTGATGAGCGGAGGAGCGTATGAGAGATCCCCAGTGCCCTTGGAAGGGACTCAAAGCCCTGACCTTTACACCAGCAGCTGGTTGTCCCCAGTGCTGGAGCAGGACCCCACCAGGCTATGGCACCTCTCTCCTGGGCTGCCTGCAAACAGCACCCATGCCAGTCTTTGTAAGAAAAAATGTGGAGCAAGATTCTGGTTGCCAGATTCACAAACAAATTTTCTTTCTTTAAAAAACAAATGAATAAAAACTCCCAAACCACCACTGAAAACAGCCTCAAGACAAAAACCCCCTCCCCCTAGAAAGTTTGTTGGTGTTTTTTTTTCTCTACATATGCAAATCCCTGTCATTGGGGTGGTTCCAAGTATTTTCTCCCATTTCAGCTTAAAGCCTTCACTTTGGCTGCTGCTGTCTGTGTGAGAGGGCCTCAGTAGTACAGGTCACCCTATAAATAATGGGGACTCTGGAGCAGGAAGAACAGCTACTCCCTCAACTTTGTACTCCAGGGACTCATCCTAAGCCAAATACCCTGCAGGGTTCTTGCATTTCTGCTGGCTCCCCTGAGTTTTGTTTCAGGTCTCCATCATGTATCTTGGTGGCAGAGCTCAAACTTGTTTACTTTTCTCTGGGTGAATTTGCTCTTTGCAAGGTAGAAAGTAGAGAGGAACCCTCTGTCAATTTGTTGAACATGGTATTAGGGTGTTCTCTGTCCTAAAATCCTGTTCTCTGTACAGATCACAGTGTGCCTTTTCAGCTCATTTTATACTTCGAAAGAGTAAAAATGTGCTTTTTGCACTAAGGACATCCCCAATCCAAGCTCCTGATTTTTACCTTCATCCCATATAGCCTCCTGTATTCCTTGTAATTTTCGTTGTGCCACCTAAAATACCCAGTTGCAAAATGGAGTTTAGAAAGGTTCTCACTATTGTCTTAAAGGCTGCCCCAGGGCATCTGGTGCTGATGTTTGAACTGCCTGTGTCTTATCTGTTGAATATTTGTGCCTTGTGTTCCATTAATATAATGAAAACCCTTGTCAAGGGTCAGGGTCTTTTGGTGGTCAGTGATCAATTAAATTATTAATGTCCCTGAACAATCTTCTTGGTTAATAGGTATTTGGGGAGTAAGAATATGCAACAGGGTTGTGACATGCAAATGCTTCTGTGTCCAGGAGTAATCTATGCCCAAGGAAGGTTGATGAGTCCTTGGTCTAGGATAGGAAATTCTCCTCATTCCCGTCCTCTTCTCCTATCTTTTGGCCTCTGTCTTTAAAATGGAAAAATCCCAATTCAGACTGTCCTGATGACTGATTCAATACAAAGTTTTAATTTGTCCCAATTTTGTGACAGGGTCATGAGCTTTTAAACTCTGTTTTGTTCTGCGGTTTGTTAAAGTTTAATATCTGGCATTGGCTTTGATTCAATCTTATCCTGGCTGAGAATATACAAGAATGAGGGAGCAGGGACAGAATTCCATCTCTAAAATATGTTACCATAACGCTGTACCCTGTGTCTGGTTTTGTGCCCCCATGGGTGTTTGGGTGATAAATTGTGGACTTCGAAAAAAAATTTTGGTTCAGCCAGTGTTCCAGCTGATGTGTATGCACTCTGCAGTTGATTGACAGGCTGCATAATCTAGCTGTGGTGCAGGAATATCTCAACAAAAGAAAAAAAAAAAACAAACTTCTAATAAAATGTTCTCCTGGGATTTTTATTTTTTTGATGTTTATTTGTGTTTGGTTTTTTTCAATCCAAAGGGAAGCCATAAGACGAGGGCTCAACATTCTTAAGGAAGAATTGCCTGGAGGAGACACGTTCATGCATGAAGGATTTAAAAGGGTACACATCACAGCACCTACTTTCTTTGTTTTACACCTAGAAACTTTGCTTGCTTCCTGCTGGTATTCTTACAGCTAACCATGTTCTACACTTCATTGCAGGCAAATGAGCAAATTTACCATGAGACCTATGGAGGTATGTGCTGTGCAGTGTCTGTGTTGATTTCTGCATTGACGAGACAGGGATTTGGGTTCTTTTTGTGACCTGCAGTAAACCCGCTGACAGAAGTACTGGAGAAGGAGGGGTGTTATGCAACACCACATTCCGTTTTGACTGCAGCCCTACTCCTAAACGGGTGATTCATGGTTTATTGAGATCAGAGAAGACCAGTATGATCCCAGATCTGACCACTGCAGAATGCAGACCAAACATAGCAGCTGGAGCTGCCCATCTTGCACCCAGCAGACAGGAATTCCCACATTTTCCTGGTCCTTTCTATCCTGATGCACTCAGACCTCTCTGCTTTGTGGTCCCACATCCTTGTTCTCACTAGTGCAGGTGTGAATGAGAGTTTTGCATCAATGTGAATGATTTGTGTTCAGATTCTGAGTTGCTAAAATGTGCATTTTCACTAAGTTTTGAGAGGAAAGTGTTTATGGTTTTTGTCTGTGCCAAAAGAAGACCTAGTTAGTTAACAAGACTTGCTTAGTTCATACCCTGGTGTGAGGTTGTTCTCATTTGTGGGCTAATGGTCTGTTAGGAAGATGGAGGAACGGGTTGGTGCCTTTTAGTTAAAATAGGCTGTGAATGTAGGAGCGGCAGCTCTGCACAGTGTTGCAGCATTTCTGCCAGTAAAATCAGGAGTCCTGAAGTGTCCAACTGAAAACAATACTACTTCCTAGCATATACCTAAGAGCTAATCAAGTATTCTGTAAATTGAATTAGGAAGAGAAAGAGTAGATGAGATCTGGATTTAGAAGCTAAACTACCAGGGAAGAAACAAGCATTGGAAAGAAAACAAAATAAGATCTCAATTTTTTTTCCCAGTGTCTTTCAAGGGTTCTGAGCACAAAAAAACCCCAAAAAACAAAAAACAAACCAAAAAAAAAAAAAAAACCCAAAAAAAAAAAAAAAACCAAAAACCAAACCAAAAACAAAAAAATAATCCAAAGCTATTTTTTTCCCCCCAAGTTGCAGGTCATTTTTTTAAGATTTATGTCTCTGTCTGACATGACATGGGAAGGACTGCATGGCATAAGAAACCTGTCAGAACTAATCAGTCTGTGATTTCAGACAGTATGGAGGAAGACACTTGAAATTGTAGCAGATTATTTTGAAAAAATAACACATACTTGCCTGAAAGTAACAGGTATGTGTATTTGTTACTTTGCTTAAGAACTATGGACTCAGAATGGTTGGTTGAACCATAGATTGCATGTTAATTTGGTTTAATTTTGTGAACAGGTTGCATTTTTCTAGGTAGCATTATATTCTATACTGCACTACATATATAAATCTCCGCAGTCTGTGCAACCTTTTCACTTAAGTTTAGATGGGATATGAAATGTTGTATCACAATACATGATTTTTTCATAATGAACCTGATCTTAAGGTTTTCACGTGCTCAGAATCCCTATGATTTTCACTGGAAGTTCTTGTTGCTGGAGAACTGTAGGACTGACCTCCCCGCAGAAGCTCATTTCATGCCACATTCAGTGGGGTTTCAGAGCCTGCTGGAGGGGAAGGTAGGATGGCAGGAAAGATCCTTTTGGGAAGTATCTCTTTCCAGTATCTCTGGACAATGTTTATGCAGAGACAAGTTGGTCAAGAGAAGAGAGGAAGCCTCTCCTTCTCTGCGAACCCATTTTGTCAGTTCTCCACGTGCAAGCTCTGTCTGTAGTCTTGGTAGCTGCTCTGTTTTATTCAGAACAGAAGAGTTGGTGTGTGGACCTTGTTAGAGCAGTGCTCCCCCTGCAGTGATGCTTGTGGTGTGAAGGTGCTCAGGTTTTGGCTCGCTGCAGGATTTGCATCTGGCCTTCAGCTGGTGCCTCACCAAGTCCATGCACACCAGCCTGAGAGTCTGGCCTTAGGGGTTTGTATTTATTTGTCAGTAAAAAGGATTGCCTCACTCCAGACGTTTTTTCCACTGCTGAATCTTGTGCCATGTGTGTGCAATCTGTTGTTCACTGTCCTCCACGTAGGAGTTCGGACCGCCAGTGTGATCATTGCCCTGACGGACGGCGAGTTGCAAGACGCTCAGTTTTATTATGCAGAACAAGAAGTAAGTCACTTTTATCTTTATCCAAACTAATTTATGTCGCCTAGAACTCCAACACCTGTACACATTTACTGCTGACTCCACTGATGATATGGCTTTGCACTTAATGGCATTTCTTGGGTTTTTTAGGCCAACAGAGCCAGAAGCTTTGGAGCTATTGTTTATTGTGTTGGAGTGAAAGATTTCAATGAAACTCAGGTAACTTGCTTGTTTTCTCTTGTTTTTTTATGTTATACTACTGCACAAGGGACAGCATCAGATGAAGGCATTTATTTAATCACTTGGGGCACAAATCATTTCGTGTCACTGTGATGTCTTTTAGCAAGTATGAAAGGGCCCAGTTTTGTTCACTGTAATTTTGTTTTCCTCATGATTTATGATTGTCTTTCTTTGCAGCTGTCAACGATTGCTGACAGCATCGATCATGTTTTTCCAGTTAAAGGAGGCTTTTATGCCCTAAGAGGAACCATTGATTCAGTAAGTTGGATATTCGGAAACACAGTAAAAGGTGCCTTTCCCTGCATTAATAAAGCACAGATGAAAATGGTTACAAAAAAATGCCCTTATCTAAATCTTTCAGATTCTGAAGAAGTCTTGCATTGAGATCCTGGCAGCTGAACCATCCAGTGTTTGTGCAGGAGGTAAGTTTCCACAAGAACAGTGTGTTAAGGCAAATGAATGACACTGATGAAATGTCAGTAACTACCTAAAGTGGTACTGGAGCTGAAGCCTGTGGATGTGTCAGGGCATCCTTTCAGGCCATGGCTAAAGCCCTACATGTTCCTTCTCGTCTTGAGAAAAACATTCTGACCATAAACATGTAGCTGCTGTGGCTGAGTACCAGCTTGGAGAGCAGACAGAGGCAACAAAACTGAACAATTGAGGATAGCATTTTTTTTAAAAATCAGAGAGAGAGAGAGAGAAAAGTAATGTAAAGCCAGACTGGCAGTGGTGTTTCAGGGTCTGAAGGCAATATCTCACAAATTTCTGGAAAGATTGCATTCCTGGCATCTGCTGGGACTTGTCAGCAGTTAGAACAAGACTTTGCAAAACGTTTACAGAAATTTAAGGTTTATTGAACCAAATATAGTTTGCTGCATAGGCCAAATTACCTCTTGTGTTTTCCAAAATGCTAATGTTTTACTTATTTGAAAGAATCATTATTCTTTGTGGCAAACATGAAGGATACCCAGAGGAGCTGTTGATAATTTCATGCCTTTAATGTCTAGTATATTTAACTTGGATTTGTTCTGGTTTATGTTAGCAATTCTCTTGTTGAGTTTTTTTCTGCTTTAGAGGCTATTGCAGCAGAGTAAGCGTGACACCATAAGTTTGCTGGAAGGTACAGTTTTTCAGCATGGTTATTTAGCTCTAGTGTTAGTGGCTTCTGTTCATTTCCTTTTACACTGCAAAAAGGAGCACATAAAAATGGCAATGATGCATGAAAGCTGACCTTGAAAACAGATAAAATATGAAACTCAGGAAAAATTTAGTATCACAGAAGAAAAATTGTTCACTCTTCATTTCCACATGTCAATCACAATATGGTCTTACCCTGAATATTTCAATTTAACTTGAAGCATCCTTGTGTCTCTTGAATTATTCCTAAGCATATTATTGTGGACTAGATGTAAAGTCTCATCTGTAGAAAATTTAAAGCAATGATTTTACTTTTAAAAATGTTGTGGAGTTGAGTAGAAAACAGTTTTAAAGCTTTGACATTTAAAGCTTTTTATTTCATGATGATGCTTTCATATTTTTGCTTAGTTATTGCAACCCTGACAATTTTTTGTGCAAAACTTATTACAAGCCGTCCTGTGCAACAAAAATGTCTTTAGCTACATAAAAATGTGAGTGTTCCAATAGGAGGGATTTTAGTACTATTCTTGAAATTGTTTGGGACAATGTTAAGAATATGGGAAAGTTGAACTGGAAACAATGTTTTTCAGATGGAATGTTGAAAATATTTGAATGGAGCATTTGAGAAATTCTCAAGAAAAAAATTCTTTCAACAAAATTAATATATTTCAGCAAAAAGAGTAAATTTCTTTTCCAAAGGATAATGTGTTCAAACCACTTCATTTTTTGCTAAGCTTGCTAGGTAAAAAGTTTGACAAATGTGATTAAAATTCCACAAGTACACTTTAAAAATAGTTTACCCTTAAAAAAAAAAACCTCAAACAATATTGTTGCTTTACTTGGATCTGTAGAATTTTTCACTGTCTTTGTGGCTTTCAAACAAGGCCAGTATAAATTGGGGAGAATCAGTTTCTGGGTGGTGCTGCTGATTCTGCAAGATATCGGCGCTTCTTTCCCTTGAGTTCTGAGGTTTGCTCTGTCCCTGCCGACCAAGCAAGGGCTGGCACATCGTGAAGCTTTGCTGCCCAATCTCCACGTGCTTGAAGGTTTGTTTGTAGTAGCAGAGAGCTTGAAAATGGGAGGAGGCTAGAGCTGCAGCTCCACATGATGTACACTGTTTGTATACCATTATATTTAAAGTATTAAAGCCTTGAGCACTAAGAATCAGGCCTGCAATAGCATTTATCATCATCCCACAAGCCACAGCTGAAATTACCTCCTGCAAGAGGTTTTACAGCATGAGGCTACAAATATTTACATTTGTGCTTCGATTTATTATCCTTTATTATCCCACTTACTTCAGCATAGCTGGAGATTCATCTGTATAGCTGTGTGCACCACTGTCTCCTGGAAGGAATCTCCTGGGAATAAACAACCTTTTTCATGGTAGTGTGATTCCAGATCCTGAGTTCAGTTCACTGGACAGCTGTAGTGCTACTCTGTGTAATGTGGTTTATTTTTTTAATGTGCTTCATTTGGACTTCATAGGCTTCACTGTTTTTTGCATTTATGTCAGAATTTTTATGCATTTTAAATTCAGGTAATTACTGATGATGTATTGTGTCAAGATCTGTAGCCACTGAAACCTACATCAAGATATATATACACTTGCATGGTAGATGTACTTGCTGGATGAAAACTAGAACATAACATTTTCTAGAAATTCACCATTCCTCCTCATTTAGGTTAGGAGTGTTTGTTTGTTTAAATGCATAATAGAAATTTTCATTTCAAAATTATGATTGAAAAATAATGGACTTTTGGAGAGAGTGCAATATATTATCACATTCTCCAGCAAAGATACTCGTCTACGTACAGCCTTGAAATGTGTGTCTGTCCACGCTTTTTGTATGAAACTTATCTGAGTGAGAAGGTGATAATTGGTTTAGCGTTTATTTGGCATTGCTAATAATTTTTACGATTTGCTATGTGATCGTGAGGGTTTTGTGTGGCTCAGTGGAAACAAGTTATGATCAGGGCTTAAAGCAGGGTCTGAGCCACTCCTTGTAAGTGTTCTCATGGTTACTACTGTGTTGGTGATTGCTGGTGATCGTGGCTTCATTTTTGACTTGCCAGAGGTTTAGTGAAATGCTAATGGAACAATTTGTATGTGTTGACAATTCCAGTTGGGATTCTGGCTTTCTGTGACGAAGCTGTCTGGCAAACCCACTTACAAATTGATCTCGTCACATGGTGACAGCTATCTGATGTTTAATGCTTTTTGACCCTGCAAATTCATTGTCCCCAATGTGGAGCAGTGTAGTTGGGTCCTTCCTGTTCCCTCTGATTTAAAGTGACCAAGACATGCAGCCTGTAAACAGGCTATCAGTGCAGAATCAGAGGTGCCTCATATCCCCTTTGACAGCATCATTGCTTTGATTATGCTTATGGTACGCAGATGTGATTGAAAGGTTTTGTTGGATGTGGCATCCTACTGGCCACATCAAGTACCAGGTGTGGATGCAAGCAGTCAGCTCCTCATCAGAGGCAGAGAAGCGGAGCCGACAGCCCAGCCAGTGCACACCAGCTCCAACCTACCATCTCGCTGCCAGCGCCGCCCGGTTGTTTCAGTGCTGACCTTTTTCCCTTCGCTGTCTTGTCAAAAGCTGCAATCCACGATCTGACAGTAACTAAGGAAGAAAAGGACGCAGCCAGAGCCAGGGCGCAAAATTAAATGGAATTAGCCATTTCAAGAGAGCATCACCCAGAACATGTTCATGCTCCAGAGCAACCAAGGGGGCAGGCTGCTGAACAGCGGCAACAAACCCAGTACCAGCTGTTCACGACTCCCTGGTATATTTTCAGCTTGTGTTGGTGGACAGGTTACTACCCAATCACTTGTTCACAACTGACTGTGCAGAGTGGCAGTCACAGTGAAAAGAACGGCAGGAGAGGTAAATTGTCCTGACAAGACTAAACTTCCAGATGTAGCTTTTACCTTGGATGTCTTGTGTTGAAATTTTCTTACTTGTGGCATCTTTTTTAAGCCACTGGAACAGCCACCAGTTAAGCTTTTTTGATTGCTGCCTTTTAAGGCCATTAATTCATGAGAAGGGGAAGAAAAATTTAAGTGCAATTTTGATTCAGCAAGCTTCTTTTGAAATTTAAAATTGAGATGGGGAAAAATTATCATCTTGGCTGGGTATCCTGTGCCACTGCGATGTGGGCTGGTTACAAGCAAGTCTGCCAGTGTGTGGTCCCAGGCAGGTGGTTCTGGTGGGTGGGCAGAGGCCCAGTTGCCCTCAGAGTTGGTCATGACTCTCAGCTCTGCTGGCAAAAAAAAGGGGATGCTCATAATTCTCAGTATAGCAGCTGGGTTAGATGTGGAATGGCTCAAGGCACGAATCTGACTAAGAGTAACTCAAGATTCTTATTGGAGTAAGAAGCAGATGAATCTGCCCTACAGTACATTTTCATTTGTTTAAAGAAATGCTCATGACCCCCAGTGAGAACCAGGATGTAAAACCCTTCCCATTAAAAAGAGGCCAAATTCTGATGCTGGATTTGTGTATTTGGCTCTTGGTGTGCTTATTGAGTTCTCAAATTTTATAATTTTTCTTTAGCAAGGTACCTAAGCACATGTTTCATTTCAAAATGCACTCCAGTAGATACTTTCTTTTTCTCCTCCCAAAATACCTTCTTTGATTCCCATGTACCTTGTGGCTTTTGTCAGTTCAGAGCCCTGCTCTAGAGCAAGTTACCACAATGAAAACCAGAGTGTGGATTTCCAGTGCATGATTGCAATTTGTAAATGCCCCAGTCCAATTCACCTGGACTTGCATTAGATCTCAGTTCAGTGGTAATGGCAATGAGTGAAAGTGTTTTTGACAAACTGTACAGAAAAGTAAAGCATTCCATGTCTCTGTGCTAGGTTGCCTTGCTTGATAAAGAAGTGCAGGCAGATGAGGCTGAATGTATTCCAGCCACCTTTGGGCCTCATGCAGTGTTATCCAATAAGGAGTCCTTCCTCCAAAGCATACAAATGGCATGGTAGTACCTTGTATGGAATGTTGCTAGAAGCCAAATCATACATCACTAAAACTCATGTACAGCTCCCCTCAATCCTACCAACATTGTTTTGTTCTCCTTTTTAGTATGTTCATCAGAGTATAAATGATGATGCATGTAGACCTGTTCGTGGTTTTACTCACTACTAATGGAGTATTATGTAATTTATTCATATTTTTCAATGTGAAGCTTGAAGACTAATTATTGCTGTGTTGTGCTGTTATACCCCTTATATTGGGCTGATCTCAAATGCTGCTCAGAGGCTGGTGTGAGAGCCCTGTGGAGGGTTTGGTTCAAGTAGGACATTCATGTGTGAAAGTGCAACTTCAGTGCTTTTCCTTGCTGTGTGCCAGCAATCTCAGCTGTCAGCTGGCTGCTTGTGTGCAGTGTCTAAGGGAGTTTCAAAAGTGTCCTGGGGACAGAACAAATTTGCAACTTGTCTCTCCACCTGCCTGCATGAAAGACCTTATCTCTATTATCAGTGTAGCAGCCACAATGGCTTTTTGTGTCCTAGAGGGAAGTTTCCCTTGCCACTTCCCTTCCTGGTGCATCTTGTGCCTAGTTTGGCATTTCAGGCTCACCCTAGCAGAAAGGGGGCTTCTACTGTGTTGGGCTTCATCTGTGCACAGTAAAAGGGAGGGAAGAATAGCAAACTGTTGTGTTGTTAGAGCTTTGAGTCACAGGAGGTTTGGGAGAAGAGCTTTTTGTCAGCATCTGCCTGAACAGAGCTCTGCTGAAAGCCTGGTGTCATCTGCCTTGAAGATTAGGAGGAGGGACTGGTAAGGGTGGTTAGCAAAGGTGTTTGTCCCAAAAGCCATGGAACCATGAGATGACATCACTCAAGTCAGCCTTAGTTTTGCTGTGGCACCTTTAAGGCATTGCAGTTGTGTGTTACACTTGTGGGAGATGACTTGAGACAAAGAGAAGACTCTGAAGCACTAATGCCTCTGTAGCACTCTTGGACATTGCTGCTGAATACAGGGAGTGGATGTTTTATTTCAGGCATAGGGCAGAGAACAGCAACTGTTATGTTTTAATTCAGGTCACTCTGAACAGAAAAGCTGTATTTGAGTTATTTCTCATAAATAAATCATAAATCTTCTATATTTTTGCTTACAGAATCCTTTCAAGTTGTGGTAAGAGGCAACGGCTTTTATCATGCAAGAAATATCGACCAGGTGCTCTGCAGCTTCAAGCTCAATGACAGCCTTACTATCAGTAAGTTTGCAGGCTGGAGGATTGCAGTGACCCCTGTGGCTGTGTCACCTCATGGGCCATGGGCCATTTCTCATCCGTGTTAAGGGGAGTCCTTGCAGCAGATGAGGGAGAGCTGGGGTAGAGGTGTGCACTTAAAAGAAGCTTGAAATTCATCCTTATTCAATGCAGTGACCTGTGGGCATTGGGTAGTGAGCACTTACTCAGGACATGCTGCTCTAGTGATCTTAGCACTGTTGTAGTGATGCACGTGGGTGCTGCATCCAGCAAGAGATGACTGGGGATCAGGTTTTCAGGTGGAAACTTAAAATTGCTTCCTATTCCCTTATATGTCAGCAGTAAAAAGAAATAATTGCCATTTTCATCTCCTGGTGGTGTTTTCACAGTTTTTAGTCACCAGTTCAGGAGACAATTGCCATAAAGCCAGGCCTCCCAGGCACTCTGCTCCTCTCTGACACCAGTTGCTGGTCCCATCACAGTGACTGTGTAACATGGAAACTCCCTGTCATTGCTGTGCTGAACAGGGTCTTTTGTTTGCTGTCTCAGCAGCTAGGCAAAGGACAGAATGGCCAAAAAAAGATGGAGTGTCCAGTTTCTCAGCAGTCCTGTCTCATTCCTGAGAAGTCGTGTGTGTTGGGCAGAGTGAAATATGGTGTGGGGAGAGGAGCTCTGCTCTGATTTCATATATGCTGCCCTTGTGGCCTGAGCACAGTAGAGGCTTTCATGTGCTGTCGTGGCCAGACTGGTGCCTTCCCAGGCAGTGAATTAACTTACAAGAGGGAACACATGAATTGCTCCTTCATTTCCCATCCCAGTTGTCTATGCTGATACTGCAGTCAGACAGCTCTGGTGGTCTTGCATTTATTCCACGTACAGATATGCTTTAACCAGGATTTGTTTTTTGTGGTTTATCAGTTAGATTTTTTGCTTTTTCTTCCCTGACCCTAATCATTAGCACCTTGACTGGGCTTCACACAGTGAGTGCTCACCTGGGCCTGGAAATACACAGGAGGAAAACTACTCTGATTCCATTCCAAATCCATGCTCTTTTCCTTGGGTTAAGTCTGCAACAGATCTTGTGATAAGATGCTGATCTGTGATGCCGTTTTTCCCCTCCCTAAAACATATCACTGATTTCCGTGTTCTTATCTCTGCCAAGGAAGGGAAATGAGTTCTGTCTTCAGGTGTGCTTGAAGTGGGTGAAGCATGAAGGAACAGCTCTTACATCTGTTGTTGCTTGAGTTAATTTTTTTCCTATGTAAAGAGTAAACAAGCCTCAAAAGTATAAATAAGGTGGCAGCCTTTATCAGCCCTTTATTCCCTTGGGTTTGACTCTTGTCGACCCCTCTTTCTCCAGGCTGGCAGCACAGTTGTTTGCTGGCCATTCAGAGCTAAGCTATAGTCACTGGAGTGGTGTGTCTGCTCTTGTGCCTCAGCTTACACACTTTTGGTGGAGCAGCAGTGCAGGATTACTGCTGGGCCTCCTGTCGGTATTCATAGGACTTGGCTTCCTGGATGTGACTTTTGAAAGTGACAGGATTAACACTGCTGAATCTTGGAGCAGTGGAATGCTTCCTCCTTAGGTGGGAAGATGTGTGCCCTTGTGTTTGACCCTGCCTGCACCAAATCCTTATAAACATGGGCTGTTTACAGATGATGCTGCCACAGAGGAGAGGTTGGGTCCAGGAGAAGCAGCTGGTGCAGAGCAGATCCTCATGATAACATCAGTCATGGCCCCTCTCTGCCTGTTTCCTGTAAATGACCAACCATCCCTTGGGTTTGGTTCCCCCAGCCCCCCCCCCCACTATTTTTCCATTTCAGCTCCACCCCATCTCTCTCCTTCTTTTTTTTTGGGGCTCAGACAGTGCAGACTTAGATTCTCTTCTGTGTATATTTGGACATGGGTAGACAAAAATTGAACCCTAAACTTTTGAGCCCTTGAGTAACTTGAGGGGTTGGACTATTCAGTGTGAGTAGAGGTTGCACATAATTTTCAGATAGAGATGAGGAATACTGCTCAAAGTATTCTGTACTGCTGAATTCCAAATGGCTGATCACTGCTGTCCGGAACAGAGATAAATATCCAAGTCTTAGCTGTGGTATCTCTAGCCTGATAGCATCATATTGGCATCAACCTGAATGGTTATTCTAGTACTTGGATTTCTAATCAGAACCATTGGGGAGTACTGGTACTTGCCAAGAGAGTTCATCTGTGGCTGTCGTTGGTGTTGGCACTTCCCAAGGGGGTGGCCTGCTTGAAACAATTTAGTTTTTTCATCCCTGAGAGTAATATTCATTTCCTTTCAGATGAAAAGCCAACTTTTGTTCATGATACATACTTACTTTGCCCTGCCCCAGTGATAGAAGATGCTGGACAGTGAGTATTGCTTTGCAGCATGTGTCGAGGGGGTGGACTTCTGGGTGAAGCTGTCATTTTGAGGATTTTGCCCAATTTGTGTGTGTCATATTGCAGCCATCTCCTTTGTGCCAAATCCTTTCCTAGTATGAGCCAACATAGCTCTATTTAATACTGGGTCTTCAGCACATTAACCAAAGGTCTTCTTGGACCATGGCCCCGTATCATAGAATCACAGAATGGTGATTCCTCCTCTCTTCCTATATCCTGTTGTTTCAGACCAAAAGATAATTAAATTCAAGACAGACTTTTAATTTTGATGGAAAGGAGATGCTTGATTTTAATTCCTTTGTTGTTATTGTATATGTTGCTTCCTGTATTTTGCTCTGCTGTGTCTTGATATTTTTCAGCCTTTTTAATCCTGTAGACTTCTGGGACAATGGCACAATGCCCAACCTTTTCCATAGGTGATCTTATGGGTGCTTAAATACTGTACTGGGGCTATAGGTGAATGCTTTTCTTGCCTTTTGTATTTGTAGGTGAAGGAAATTAATTTGGTGGGGTTTTGTCTTTTTTTTTATTATTATTACTTTATTTTTTTTTCTCCCCTGGGCCCCTTCTCTGATATTGGAGAATGGCTAGGGAAGATTCTTCTTGAATTTCACTGGCATTTCAGTGTTTTTACCCTTCTTGATCTCAGTGCAGGTGTTCTGGATTTGCTTGGATACAAAAGAACACACTCTGATTCATTGACAGAAGGGTTTCTTTAAATAAAAAAGTCTTAAAGTTTCTTGTGCTATGTACAGTAGTATTGTTATTGTCTGAGGCATTCTGTTATGACTCACTGTCCTGGTGCCCTTTGCCCCAGGTGGGATGGGGGTTTTTTAATAAAAAGCATATGTCCCAGTTCAACTAAGGTAACATAAAAAGATTGGCTCCTGGGTAAGCAGGGAGGAAAATGCAGGTAAGTGCCTGAGGCCATGAAAATGCCCTGACTCAACAGAACCCATTATCCATGCAGGCTCATAAACCAATGGTTAAAACGGAGACAGAATAAAGGTAACAATGGTTGTAAAGATGACACTAAAAATAAACATATCTGTTTTGTGCTCTAGGGTGGTTTTCCTACAAGTCAGCATGAACAACGGGCTAACGTTCATCTCCAGCTCTGTCAGCATCACCAGCACACATTGTGTAAGTAATTCCAATGGGGCTTGACAGAGGAACCATGAGACCTTGGAAAGAAATGGTTGTTCTTCAGGCAAAGCCTCCTTGAGTGAGCCTGACCTCTCTGCAGCTTCTGTGTCACTGCTGCTGACTGATCCCAGCAGCTCTTGGGAAAACAACCAGGGCTACTTAAGGTCAAACTGTTATTGATGGTGGATAGATCATAATAGATTTTCTGAGTAAAAAATTAAAATAGGAGGCACCCTGCACAATCCTACCCCAGGAGAGCCATCCTCAAAACTAGAATCTTAACAGAAGGAGACCTGAGAAAATGATCGAAGGAGCATCAGGGAGCAACACTCTGTTGAGCCTTGGGGTCCCTGAGGGGATCTGGGGTAAAAGGCACAACTGTTAGGAGTTGTATCTGGAAAGGCCACAGAGGGAATGGACAGTGATGTCTGTCCTGCATCATGGGGTCAAAAAGACCAGATGGAGTGTCAGGGACAAACAGCTGGAAGTGATCCTATATCAAAATCTGATTTTTAGAATCAAATAAACAAAATTAGGAAACGGACTAATAGATAAAGAGTTGTCTTCCTTGCCTTGGGGTAAAAATAAGCAGTGCCCATAGCTGGTGTGAACAAGTACAATAATTAAATATGTGACCTTGTGCTTGTGGTCTAAACCAAGTTGGCTGAAGTACCTGATAGCAGTTTGTATCATTGTTATTAGTGGCAAAAGGACTTTTATAGCCTATGCCAAATGCTGTCATATTGGTTTGTAATCATTGTTGGCCATTTTGACAGCTGGAGAACAGAAGGGCAGGAATGCAGATAGAGGCGACTGGAACTTGAAAGTCTAATTTTCTGATGTTTGCAGCAATGAAGATGGGAAATACCACAGCAGAATGCTGGAACACTCTGGGTTGTAGGGACGCAATACAGCAGAGATGTGTTTGTTTCTTTATGGGATTATTTCTATTTTGCTAAAACTTTCTTCCAAAATTTCCATATTGAGGACTGATATTTTCACATCTAATTCCACTCTTTTACCTCAGGTACAGTAAAACCTTTCAAGTCTGCAGTGAAACACAAGTGTTAACTGGTGCATTTAGTTACCCATATGTAATCTATTTCTGATGAAGACTGAAGTGTCAACCCTAACCAGGGCTCCTAAAGGCCAGAGCATGGATGGAGGAAGCTTTTCCTTTTGGTAGCCTTAGGATAAAAAGAGGAATCCAATCTCCACTCCTGTCAATCTGACAGTTTTTTACCAGACTCTTGCAGATTGAATGTGAAGGAGGCAGGAAGCCTGATTTGCAGCTGATAGAAAAATACTGTGATGTCCCATAAGCAGGGACGTTGGCATTTCAGTTTCCAACTTTGCCTTAATTTCATGCATTTCACTCTTCTCGTTTTAGAGACTCCTTCCATTTCCTTTTCCCTCCTGTTTCCTTTTCTGTGGGTGGCAGTCAGCTGGCCTGCTCAGCTCTCCTCCCCAGCTGGTCCTTCTGTCTTTTCTGTACAGTAAGTATCTTCACTATAATCCAAAAGCCTCTGTGTGATCCCTGTGCTTATTTCTGTTCAGCTGCATGAAGTCTGCTATTTTCTTTTCAAAGTCCAGCTTCACTATGGAGCTTTGTATCATTAAAATCACTAAAAGAAAACTATTTAGCTTCTTGCTGCCAGCAGCTCCTGAGCTACTGCTGGCAAATTTCTCAGCAATTTATATGTGCAGTTAGCACAGGAAAAGCAATGCCTGGAAACAAAGGCTACAAAACAAGGAGGTAATGTGTGTTTGGAGTAATAGTAGCAGTGGTACTGCATTGCTACTGTGCTTGGATTTGTTTTTAAGGAGTGCAGCAATATTTCTTAAAGTTTTGCTTGATTTTTACCCTTTTCTCAGCAAACTGACTTTACTAAGAATTAATTTCTCTTCGAGTATCTGCTTTCCAGTTAGTTGTACATGGGGCCATGGGAGGGACAGAGAGAGGGGCTTAGCACTGAACTGTAGCTGGGTACTGTGTCCTCTAACAGGACTTGTTTGGGCAATGAGTCTTGCACATTTTGGAGCAATTCAGCTGCTCCCTGGCCAAATGAAGGTGAGCCAAACAGCATATCCTAAAACAGGTAGGTTTGTTGCATCTTTAACAAAAAGCCACAGAGCAGCGTAGGGATGTGCAGTGACTCAGATCTGGGATCACTGGGTTACCTGTTTAAAAGCATGGAGTAGGAGCTGTGTTTGTGTTAGTCCCATATTGAATGTGTCAGTCCTGACAGCTCTAGGAATTGGCCTGAGAGAGAACTAGGTACCACCTAAGTCGGTCATTCAGGATCTCACTCAGACTTTGCAATGCTCTTACCAGCTGGTGCTTTCCACCCTCAGTCTTCTCATTGTCTGAGGGGAAAACAAATGCACCTAGAACAGTGAAGGAAATCCCTGTTGTAAGAAGGGACTAAGCATCAGTTTCTGGTGTCATGGAAATGGAGCAAGTTTCAGATATAATAAGGTGAATCTCATGGACTTTATCACATAGAAATCACTTTTGGAATTTGGCTTCTTTCCCTTTATCCTTGCACCTATCCTTTGAAAATCTCTTACAGCTTCTTCTCTAGCCAACTCCTCTTTCCTCAACCTGATTGACAGACCTTTCTTCAAGCTCTTTTCATATCTTTCTAGCCCCAGGCTTTCCTCTAGTTTCCTGCTAAGTTTTTTCTGTTCCCTGATATCTCTGTTGCTGGTGAATTGAACCTCTTCTCAAATTTTGAAATTCTACCATTCAAGAGGTTTCATTTCCCAGTGTATATTAAAAAAAAAAAAATTGGCTGAAACATCAGAGCAAAATTAATATAATTCCAGAAGCCAGTACAGTCCAAGGATAGGGCATGTCTCAGTATGCCACTGCCCATGTGAAACAAATGTTTACTTCCCAAAAGCCGTGTGCTCTGTACGTTCTGCAGGGAGCAAGCAGCATATGAAAACCTGATTCCTGTAGTCATCAGAGCAATAGAGAATTAATATCTCTTCTGAATGCACTAGCATTAAATGCTCCAAGTGCAAAAGATCCATCAAGATTTACACAGAAAAAAATGGAGCTGTGATTCTCTGATTCTCAGTTGCTCTGAAAAGCTAATTTCAAGTGTTAAGACTTGGTTTTAAAATAGTCAAAGCAGGCCTAAGAAGCATACCATGAACAAACAGCATTACTGACTGGTTTGCATGATCACCTAGGCTAAGGTTGTGTGAGTGGTCTTTAAATTATTCAGAGGAGCTGTGGATCTGAGATAATATCTGTGCACTAACTCGGTAATTATGTGGTATTTTTCATCTCATCTGGGTTCATTTTCAATGGAGCTAATGAGAGGATTGAATGGAGGGGAATGAAGCAGAGTGACTCATTTGTGACACGGGCAAGAAAGCAGGAAGAACACAGTACTGAGATGGATGAACCCTACCATTGTCTCAGATTTCTCCTTTATTTGTTTATTGCAGGTGATCAAGGAGCCACCTCCACCACCGCCTCCAGAGCCTGTAAGTGTGCTATTTTTGAGCTGTGGCACCGCCTGCAGCCACCTAGTGTGCTGTGCTGCCCAGGAATGTCAGCTCTGTAGGTGTCTTAATGACACCTTAAGGGCTGTGAGAGGAAGTGCTCTGGGTCAGGACAGTTATTTCTGCCTTCTGGCCTCTTCATATGCATAGAGGAAAACTGCTTCCATCCAGGGTGAAAACAGTTGCATAACTCAAAAATCTACAGGCCAACAGTTCCTATGGTATTTTTTTCCTTCTGCTGTGCATCAAACAGGTGTGTGAGCAAATCTCTGCTTCTCAAGCTGTGCTGACAGCTGTCCCTCCTCCAGTAAAGCTGCCATTGTTCTCAGAAGGAGTTTATCCCAGATTGGTAGTAAGGAACAGTCTGGCAGCTGGAAAAAAGGACAGCAAAGGCCACGTTCTTGTGGCTTTGCTACAGGAGGGAAGACAAAGCCTGCCTTGGCTGTGGCTCTTCTGTAGAGTGACCTTTGGAAAGACATTTAGCCTTTCTCCATTTAGGTTTTGAGCTGTTTGAGGCAGGATTGTATTTCACTCTTTTGGGGACAGTAACTCACTGACCCTGACCTCAGTTTAATTTCACCATACTAGTTTCATGAAGATAATAGTAGTAAATGAAAGCACCTCCAGAGAAAACCTATGCCTGCCTTTATTTCTTTGCTAGTCATAGACAATGAAATAATGGAAAAATACGTGCCTAACCCACAAGAGAAGCTTATAGTTTACTGTTAACTTGCTGGAACTTGGCATGAATGTAGGGAGGCAACCACAGCTGCTGTTTTGAGGTTGCTAGAGGCCACCACTAGCATGTATGTGATCCTGCTACTTGTCCTGAGCAGCAGCACTGTGACAATTTAACTTCAGAATGCACACCAGAATTCATGCTGGGGTTAATGTGATTAGTGCTATCACAAAGCCTGCAGTTGCAGCCATGCTACATTTGAAGGAGGCTTCAGAGAGCATCACAGCCCTGCAGAAGTTCCAGATGCTTTGCAATTTTAAATGCAATCAAATAGAATGAACTGATGTAAGCCTCCAGGAATAACACAGAATACAGATGTTATCCATCCCTTTTCTTTATCCAGTATGAGTTGTAATAATCATGCATTGTAATAATTGTAACTGTGTGATGAATTTAATTACATTTAGTATTAGGCTCCCTAGGTATGGTGACCTGCCCTGCAGCTGATACAGTGTGGTATTGGTACTATTAAACTGAATAGAGGTTTGTAAAACTTGTTCTAAAGCACAAGCATTAGATTTCCATGTGGTGGCTGTTAATGTTGCTTTGCTGTGTGTTCAGTGTAGGGGATATTTGGTATAAATCCTTTATCAACTGGAAAAGTACCAGCTGTTACTATTGGCTCTGTCCTGCTAGAGTCAGGCTTGCCAGCAGTAAGAGCTGTTAGACATGAACACTTGAAATCTGTGTTACATTGCATGGAAGAGGCAGAGTATCTTAAATAGTACTCATATTCACAGTGAAATCAAATATAAATGAATTAAAAATGATGAGGCACTTCACTGGGTACTGGTTTAGATTGGCATGCAATGGGATAAAATTTGTGTATTTGTTGTACTCTCAAAAGCTTACTGAAAAAACACCAAACCCAACACCAAACCACAATACCCTCATTGTATATTTATTTCCCCAATTTTGGATAAAAACAAAATAACAGGAACAAAAAAAAAAAAAAAGAAAAGGGTAAAACAAACACCAAAAAGCCAAACCATAACAATAAAAACCCCAAACTCAAACTCCCCTTACTGGTTAATGCAAATGTCAGCTCTAGTCTTGCCTGGCCATACTAAAGAATTCGTTGGAAGAACTGACCTATTGAACTGTAGCTGAGAGACCACATGTCACTGAATAACCTAAGAGGTAAATACAAACAAAAACTAAAGCATGGTTTCAAAAAGCTATTATTGTCTTTTGGGCTCTTAATTCCTTTTCCATTCCAGTAGAAACACGTAGGGCAATTTTGTGAAAATGCCATCTACTGACGTAACAATAATGTACGTCTCTCTATAATATTTGGCTTTTTAGTTAATTTTTTTTCTTTTTTAATTAAAAAATAAGTTCAGGTAGTGTTTCTAGAAGCATACTTGTACTGAGGAACAGTAGCAGAGAGCACTGTGCAGTGGTCAGTCCAAGAATAGCATGCATGTCTGCATATAAGCATGAGGTACAGTTATTTAGGAATGAAGAGAATATTGTAGGAGGCTTCTTGTGCCCTCTGCTCAGCTATGTGTGTACTTGGAGAGTGTCAGGCTGGGACTTTCAGGTGTCTTGACTTAATGTAATGATCTGGAGTCTGAGAAATCCCAGTCACATCTCTTGGCTCAAGATGATAGAGCTGGAGATGTGTTCCCAGGCTTGTTGAACCAGAACCATTTGCCAGCTTTTAGTTAGGCAAGAACAGAAAAATGAACCTCAAGTGAATTCCTGATTAAGACTCTCACATGTTCTAGAAAAGTAAACTTAATTCTTGATGATTGCTCTGGTTCTGATCTCCCTAACAATTGTGAGATGCTCCTGTCTGAATTATTTTTCAAATTGTACAATTTGAGCCAGACTTCATAAAGCATCAAATAGTGTAGAATAACTGTTTACAGCTGCCATAAGAAAAGGGTCTGATGCACATGTTAGAAAACTCAACAGTGGTCACTTTTTTTTTTCCTCTGTTAGATGACATTAAGTTCCAAAAGTGCAATTAAGAAATTATTTCTCTGGGCTAACTCATCACTGCATTTTCTGCATAGCAGTGGCAAGCCAATATATGTACAATTCATCTATACTTTGCCTGTCCTCACAAATTAGCTGAGATTTTGGAGCTCAATGCATATTTGATTAAATAAAAGCAGCCTGGACAGAGGAATAGGCAATCCTCTCTGGCTTCCCTAGTTAAAATTGCAGCTGCAGAGACAAGAGGCTTTTTTGGGTTTTGTCAGCAAATAAGCATAACACACAAAGCCAGATATCCAAGGATTGGACCATAGGATGTTCAGCTGTTTTCCACAGTTTATGCTTTTTATGTGAAAGCAGCATTAGTATCTCCCTGTGTTTCCCACAGGACTCGGATGATGAAGATGGATTGCCAAAGAAGAAGTGGCCAACCGTGGATGCATCTTATTACGGAGGTCGAGGTGTTGGTGGGATTAAGAGGATGGAGGTATTTGGCTTATTCTTTAGTGTTATAAACCCTAGCCCATTTAATTGAAAATTCCACTGTGTTTTCATGTGATTTTTGACAAGGACTGGAGACCAGAATTTAATCAGGGCCTGTGTACCAAATTCGCACCTGCTGTCCAAATAACAGGCATCAAGCTGCTGTCATTTGCATGAATAATTAAATGAATCTAGCATTAAGAGCCAGAGAAAATTTGCAGGTTAAGAAATGAGATAAGCAGCAAAAGAAGTTTTAATCTTGTGAGTCAAACCCTTTGGTGCAGTTGCAACCAGTTCTCTTGTCAGAGGAAATTCAGGCGAAGCTACGCTGGTTTTCTATTTGAGGGTGCTGTCCATGCAGTGCCTGTTTTCCATGAAAGGGGAAGCTTCTCAGCAAGTTCCTGTAAGACTGGAGATGAAGGATTGCATTTTCCTTAGAAAAATTTTATCCTTGATACTAAGAATGTATGTTGACTGTGACACTGTGGATCATACATTGTTCTTGAATGCAGAATCACTTTTCTGCTTCAGCTAAGTCAGACAACAAAATCAGATATTAAGGTAGGAGATAGTGGGAAGAATTTCTTCACTGAAAGGGTGATTAGGAGTTGGAGCAGGCTGTCTGGGGAAGTGATGGAATCACCATCCCTGGAAGTGTTGAAAATGTGTGTCAGTATGGCACTTGAGATATGGTTTACTGGTGCTGGGTTAACTCAGTCATCTTAGAGCTGTTACCAACCTTAATGATTCTCATCTGCCCCGGATCTGTGAATTCCCACGACACCTTAGATTACTGGAATGTGCAAAGGCTAGTAGTTCCACCAGTTTTTGAATGAGAATGTTTTATTCTTAAATGTATATTTCTGATTACAGTAGGAGTTTGGTGCTTTCATAAATTTGACTTAATTCTGGTAGCACTTGGACATCTGACGGGAATTAGATTAATATCTCTGGAAACCACCTGCTGGTGGGGACTGCTGAAGTGTCTCCTTACAGTGTGCTCTCCTGACATCAGGTGCGATGGGGAGACAAAGGATCAACAGAGGAAGGAGCAAAATTGGAGAAACCCAAAAATGCTATTATTAAGTTGCCAGAACAGGAGTATGAGCCATGGGAACCCAAGCCAAAGAAGCCCCATGTGAGAAAACCACCTTCCCAGCGAAAATGGTACACTCCAATCAAGGTAATGTGTCTGACCCTCAATTTCAGCAAGTCTCTCATGTCACCTAAGATACTGTATCCCACTTTCTTAAAGCACAGCCTTCCTTTCAGCAGAGCTGAGACAGTCTATTTAGAAAAGTGGCCATTAATCCTCACCTTAGCCTGGTTTTGGAATGTATATTTCACTTGGCACTGTGTTGCCATAATTTTTTGAGAAGAGTAGAGGGCACAAGCAGAGGTCTTCCTTTCCTCAACTCACACTGTCTTTTCAGGTTCTCTTGGCTGGGGTGCAACAGCAGATCCCTTGAACCTTAGAGAGGGCAGATGCTCTTTTCTGCCATCTCAAGGCAGCATAGAAGAGGATCAGACAAAGGGCACTGTCCTTACTTTGCATTGTGGCTAAGGGCTTGGGCTGGGATCCAGATCTGTTTCCCCTTAGTTCAACCACAAGACAGTAGTGTTTGGTTTTTGGGCAAGTCACTCAGTCTCCCCATATTTTCACCCTGAATTCTCCCATGTCATTATAATATCTGGTGTTTCAATGTCTCTTAATGTATGTATCCTCACACAACTCTAAAGGCAGGGAAGAGCTGCTATCTCTGCTTGCAGAGAAGGAATCTGGAGGGCTAGCACAGTCAAGGCTGCAGCATACCCTGCTCATCCCAGGAATCTATGTCCCAGAGCAGTGCTTTGTGGGATGAGTTCCCCCATCCCCTGCTTACTCACAGATCAGTTAAACAGTGCTTGAATGTTTCTGGAAAGCATCTGTGAATTTTAAAGCCTGCCTAGGCAGGTATTCTTCTGGCTGTTTATCCATGCTTCAGTTCTCTTCCTGTCTGTACTGTACTTTTGTTCTGCCTTTTGTAATACCTAAAGTAAGATCAGTGCTTTAAAGTAACACCTGTCTAATTGTGCCTCTTAAGGGAGTTGTTCACATTAATCTACTCTCATCCTCACTGCAGATTTGGTATTGCCCCACTGGGGTTCTTCTGGTTGTCCAGATAAAGTGTACAGAGGCCATGGTACAGGTCCAGAGTGCAGACAGCCTAATGCAGAAAAACTGTACCAACCCACCTGTTGTTTAATCTCATGCTATTTTTACCACATTTCTTGGTAATATCTTGTATCTTTTTTTTTTTAATTGCAGGGTAAACTTGATGCACTGTGGGCTTTGGTTCGACGAGGCTATGACCAAGTCTCTCTTATGAGGCCTCAGCCAGGGGATAAGGTAAGGCATCCCAAATGCACTGACACCACTCCTCTGGTAGTAGCAGCAATGCTCTTCCCTCACAATCAGCCCATCTTTTTTATTTTTATACGCATGTCTCTTTCCATATTGCCATAAAGCTAAAAACTAAACATTTTCAATGTTTCTTGGATTTAGTAATTGAGTTCAATGATTATTGAGAAATTATGAACTGTACAGATGATGAAAAAACAAATCATAGCAAGGTTAATGGAGAACAAGTTGGAGTTGAATAGTATGCAGACACATTTCTCAGTCATCTCCTACACATAGGCAAGGAGTATGTCCTGCCTTGGTGAAGTCTGTTGGCCAAAAGCAGGTCAGGAGTAGACTCCTCCTGGGAGGCAGCAGGGATTTTGTGCTTTTCAGAGCCACAAAGATGTCTGTGTACTGTCACTGGCAATAGCTTAGTTCAGAGCTCTCACAGTTTATGTGAGCCTGGCACTGTTCTGGTTGTCTCTGTTTTGTTATTCTGAGGGAACGACTCCCTAAGAATTGAGTGCTGCTGCTTTGAGCTGTTTCACCATCAAGGTTTTGCTTTCTGCAGTGGTTTTTGTAACATGAGAACTAAGCAGACACAACAGCATCTCTCTTTCCCCTGTGGGCAGAGTCCATATATTTCATCACCTTGGCTCTCGGGTGAGGGGATTATAGAGTTACAGCAATAGGGTCCCTAAAGTGCTTTTTTGGGGATAGGACTGGTGCAGCTGCCCAGGCTTGTTTGCCTGGGTAGCTTTCACACCTAATGACAGACTTTAAAAGTAGCTCTAATTTGCATCAGCTAGAGCAGTAAGTTGCATGTCTCTTGCTTTTGGCAAAATATTATGCCATTTGTCTAGTCATTAACCAAACGTGCTGCATCAGTATTTAAAGGTTAATCTCTTCCATTTTTATTTTGGCACATAAGGAGACCAAGAGAACAAACCTAGCTTCTTATACTACTTTGTAAAATGGTCTTAAATGTTTCACTAAGCTGCATTTTCAAGGCAGCTGTGCTTGAGACACCTTATTTAATTTTTAAGCATGATCTAGAGCTTCTGAATAGGCTCTTTAGGTCCAGCTGTATTTTGATAGCACTAACATTGTATAATATGAATCTATCCTCTGCCTTTCACTCCCTTGGCTGGGACATTTCTATCAGTGCAGAGCACAACAGAGCCTCTGTTAGCCAGCGTGGTCAAGAAACATGCAGGGGGCTGGCTCAGAACAGGGATCCTCAGTTCCTTGCCTCCCAGCTCTGCTGTGGGGAGAACAAGGGGCTGAAAAGAGGCAATGTAAAACATCAAGCTGAAGGATTATTGTATCAGGGGTAACATAAGAAAAATCAAATGTACATCTGGGAAATAGGGTGGAAAGAATCCTATTGAGCCAGATCCAGTGGAATCATAGAATCATCTCTGTTCCCTGGCCTGTGAAATTAACTAAGGCTGAAGAATATTGAAAGTGAAACAAGAATATAACTAGTCAGCCTTCTGCTGTTTAAAAAAAAAAAAAAAAAATCACAGGCCTGTATTTCATGGAGAGAACTAGCACAGAAAGGAGCAAGTTTATTATTCATTCTTTGAGTAACGTCTCTAGTAGCAGTTTCCCAGTGGATAATTGACTCCTTGTAAGCTGGGTTTTTGCTGGGGGGTGTGTATAAATCCACCTGTGTGTGCAGGTCGGTAAATGTGAGCACACACACACGTGCACACTCGTCATGGTGGCTGAAGAACTGGGAGATCAGGTCAGTGCTGGGAGGGAGCGGCAGCACGGAGCTCTGGCAGCCCCAGGAGCAAGGGCACAGCTCTGCCCCAGCCCAGGCAGGATGAGGTCACTCCTTGGCCAGCTGTGCTGGCAGCAGGCAGAGCATTCAGCGTGGGGCTGGGGAGATGGTGTTCTTCCAGGCTCTGCCATCCACAGGCCAGAGACTGTGCGGTGATCCTGGAGTGAGAGTTTGCTTTGGTTTGTGTGGTTTTGAGGGACTGGGGGGAGGGAACAGGGAAAAGAGTTCTTGGTGGGGTCCAGGTGCACCTTTTTTATAATTTTAAGGTCATTTCATAGCTGTCCATCCATCTAGTTTTCTTTCTTTATCATGGTCGTGTTGCCATTCCCCATCCTGCTCTTTTCTTTACCTGTGCCCTGCTTGGTCTCCTGCCCTAGACATTACCTTCCATTTCCTTCTGTGGTTTCTTCCTCATTTTCTCTCTCAGTTCATGTTTGCGTGCCCTTCCCCTTGATGGGACAGACTGATTCCCTGCAGTCCTGTCTTTGGGAGCAGTAGGTTGGTACCCAGCCTCCTTAGCCTGTTCTTCTCATGCTGCAGGACCTGAGCTGCTGGTAGCATCATGCTCTGTGCTGTGGCCTTGCTGCAGAGCTGGCTGAAGCTCTGAGAGTTCCCCTGCCCTGGCTCATGTCTTCCATGAACTTATCAGGAAATGGATCTCAGGATGGATGATTCCTCAGTATTAGGCAGGATTGTATTAATACGTCTGTATTAATCCTTGTGAAAATCACAGGAGCTTTTTGGAACTGCCTATTTAAAGAAAACCATGCAGGCATGAGCTCTGGTGCTCCTTCTCCTGTGTGCCCACAGTATTTTGCTTGGCTCTTACAGACAGCTCCTCCTCTTGGTCTCCATTCAAGGTCATATAGCACCACCACTGAAATTTTTTAGTTTGGCAAGTACCTCAGTAAAGGGTCACAGGATCCCGCTCGCTTGACTTCCTCAGGTCACCTCTAGCAGGAATTTCTGTTGCACCAGGATGGGGCAACAAGGGATAAACACACTTAGCTCTACCCCATCATTAGCAGCTAGGCTGTTATTTGTGGCATGGAGTTTTGCTGAGCTCTCAGACAGCATCAGCAGAGGAGTGAAGTGATAAAAAGGAACTTGTGGCTCTGTGGTGGGTTGCTGGGCCTTCTGCCTTGCTGGAATGCACAAAGGTGAAGCCTTCATAGGCGTTTGTGCTACTGCTGCAGTGGTGGATCCCTTAGAGCTAGGCTTTCTTCCCACCCTTGCTCAGAAATCTGTCTTAGAGGACCAGCAGTCACTCTTCTGGCCCAAGAAAGGGACTGACAGCTCTTCTCATCCAGCCACAGGAGTATGTCAGTGTCCACATGGCCTGATTGGGCTCTCTGTTGATCAAGGGATTTCCTTGAAGACTTTCCCACCACTGTGTTGGCATGCCCCTGATCTTGGTTCTGAGCTTGCAGCAGCTGCTGTGAAGGTTGGAGTTTGGGAAATATTAGTGTCTGGCTGTCTTGAAATATTTCATATGAACAAAGGTTGTCAGTAGCCTCTGCAAGAGGTAAGTTTCAAGCTCTTCCCGTGGCCTCATGGTTCAGAAGTGGGCTGTTACCAATGGCAGCAGGTAAACACTGAAAGCCCCAGTGGATGCAGAAAGGAAGGGGAGGTGCTTTCCAATGGTCTGTTAGTTGCTGCTTTCAGCAATTCCATTCCTTTTTGCCTCTCAGCACGTACTGATTGATGCAGGAAATTCTTAGAGGCTCGGTTTACCAAAGTCCTTGACTAAAAAACCAACATTTTTCCCCTCAGGCAGAATTGATCATTTACTTTAAAGACTTTAAATGTGATCTCATTATTTTCACTGAAAATTTTGGAGCTGCAACACGGAGTGTAGATTGGATTTTGCTGTCACCATCCCCTTGTACACCCTTGGGACTTTACTTAGAAAAAAACAGTAATGCCTTAGTAGTATTACCCTGTGGTTTATACATGTAAAGCCCTTTCCTGGGGAACAAGAATAGAAGCAGGCTAATGTACAAAATTCTGAGAGCCTTTTTGCATTTTTCTCTTCCATAAAACTGAGATGAAAAATGTCACAAACTATGAGCTGCTGGTCATTTTAGAAGCCAGATCTGGATCCTTTCAAGTTCTCCCCCTTGAATTACAGTGTGACTTGGAATGAGGCAGAGAAGCTGGAATTTTAAACAGCAGCCTTTGAAATGAGGAGTATGTGGGTTCCTTATTCTGTGCCTCCCTTTCAGAGTGATCACTCTTAGTCTGATAGGTTTGTTAAAGCTCAGAAGGTCTGATTACCCACAAATTTTGTGTGATTACTTGTAGTGCTGTGACATCTATGTGCCTTAGTTTTCCTAACAACAAAATAGCATGAGAACACAGTATTTACCATCCTTACAGCTGTGAGGTTTAGTGTTCTGCCAGGCATTTGGGACTCCTTAGATGAATCATGGGACACCAAGCTTATGGATTATTAATGACTAATAATTACTCTCTAGCTGCTGCTTGCAGGTGGTCAGCAGCTTGAATGCAGCCCACAGTGATGGCAGCACCCACCTGTCACGCCACGGTGGCTGCCCACACACTGGTGCTATTTGGAGCTCATTCTAATTACTTCTCTTCAAGACCCAGTAATGGCTTTTAATAGGCTTCCCTGCCTCTTGCTTGGAGAGGTGTTGTAATCACCCGTGTAACAACTGGTAGAGCTACAGGGGGAGCTGGAAAAGCAGCACTGAGCTCCTGCAGACTGTAGTCATCAGGAAAAAAAAAGCCTGATCCTGGGGCTTTTGTCCCTTTGCTTTTCACCTTCATGAGCTGCTGAAAAATTAGAGATGAGGATATTGCCTGCCACAATAGGTGATCTCACTTTGTCACTTTCAATGAAGATGTGACACGTTTAGCTCCCATTTTGCTAATTTTTCTCCTTTTTTTGAAGGACATGGGTATCGCTAAGATTTATTCCTGCTTTAGCAGACATGGCATGGGGGGAAAAGCTCCTTTTCCATGGTGTGAGACCAGTGTCCTGATGCACAGTTCCCAGGACATGTTGAGAGCTGCAGCTGGAAACATGTAATCAGTGACTAATGAATTTCCTGTCCTACAAGAAGCCCATATACTGCATTACCCCTCCTTTGTGCCAGGATTGTGTTATTTCTGTTGTGGAAGAGGAATTCACAGACTTTGGGGATGGATGCTGCCTGTCTGCACCCAGGTCAAACCAGCAGTCTGTTCGTGTCTT